TTAAACCTCATTCCTTATAAGAGCTTGCGACATTCTGCAGTAGTCCAGGAGTGCATAAAAACTGGCATTTTGAAATCCTGTAGAAAAATTTGAGATAAAAAAATTTTGAAATTTTTGAAAATATGTTTTGATTTACAGTATGGTCAGGACTATTTCTGCACTCACACACTGTCCTAGGTATTCCAGTTAAGTACCGATATTTCTTGCATCTTATAACTAATATCTCAAAATTCACATGGCAACTAAATAAAAGTCATTTCAAGCCAAAAGTATCCTTCAAATACTAAAATTTCGAAAAGCATTCTTCTTGGAGAAAACACTCTAGCTTTGCAGCCATTATGGAATCTAAGGAAAACAAACATAAAAGGGGAGCAATTCTGTGTGGTTACTGATGTTACTGGAATGCTCCTACACGTTGAGTGCAGAAATGCCAGGCCCTTCAATCATGAGCTGCATACTTCCAGTTAATATACACCGCCTCTTCGTTGTATGTGCACCACTTTTTCAAGGACTTTTTCGCAGATACCAATCACTAATACACGATGTCCACTAGTTGTCGGCATGGCGAACAATGTTTGCTTTCTCGCATGGTCGTAATGATAATGACGAGAAATACAAATAAATAGCAATGCGCACCAGCCTAGCCGGTGCGATCATGCGTTTTGTGCAATTCAGCCCATCGAACGATTGTCTATTAATTATTTTCACTGCTTTGTACTTTTGTCTATGCATAAATAGTTCAAACATCGGAAAATAGTTAAAAATTTCATGCATAAGCGCATGAAAGCTGAATCCGAAACCTTGAAGGATGAATATCTTTCCGTGATTCCCGAGTTAATAGTTTACCGGACGAAATTTTCACGACGCCGTAGGTAACAGCTGAGAGCGCGAGAATGCTGGATTTGAATAGGCAAGGTTGAGCGTGGGCAGGGGGTAATTACTCTAAAATTTCAGCTTCCTAGACTCCGTGGTTCCCGAGATAATAATTTACCCGTCAAAAATTTTCACGGGGCTGTACTTGTTACCCGCGGATACGGGAAAGTTGAATTTAAATTTGCCGCGTCATCCGCTGGCGGGGAACACTGTACCAAAATTTCAGCCGCTTAGCTTTTGTGGTTTTCGAGTTGAAAGTGCGGGACAAAATGTGGGACACACACACACACACACACACACACACACAACGACAACCTCGTGACAATATGCATTTTGTAATGCTGTTACACAGCACAAAACGCATAATAAGTACAAACAGCTGAAAATCGAATGAAGGCCCCAGCAAAAAGCTGAACTCAGAAGCACCTGAGCAATGTAGAAAGGTGGCCAAACGCTTGAAAATAGCAGAGAGAAGCAGTGTGAACAGGACCGGTTGCAACGAGCCAATTAGGCCCAGCGAACATCGCGCTATCCAACCACTATCCTGCGCAAACTCGAACAACATCTCTTCGTCACCGAGCAAGCCCTCCTCATTTTCCTCCTCATACATCTCTCAACCACGATGTCTTAGTGTATCATCAACCACATATCCTGAAAAAAACAGTTTCATGTATCTTTTTCGCGGATTAATTTTGATGAAAAAGACGAGTCTCACGAAAAAATAAAGCTCGGGGCGCGTTTTTTACGAAACCTTTAAAAGTGTACGTATACAAATGAGTCTTTTCCTATAGACTTTCCCGAATTGGCACTAGAGAGTTTTAAGGATGCTTACTTTTTGCTCGTTTGAAACTTTAATTACTGGAAGAGGTTCACGGTTGTAGCAAAATAAAAGAATTGGAACAGCTATTAAGTCATGGTATGAATTTCGATACAATCAATTGAAAATTTACACAGTGCTAACTAAGCGATAATAAGCAATCGACAATTTACATAGTGCTGGCTCAGCTGCTGGTCAGTCTGTTGGCGATCCTGACGTTCGTTTTTATGCCTTTTGTGCTGTGCAACAGCTGTACAAAGCGTATATTGTCACGGGGTTGTCTGTGTGTGCGTGTGTGTGTGCGTGCGTGTGTGTATGCCCCCCTACATCTTGTACTTTTGAAGCGATTACCATCTCAAAAGTCCACCTAAAGTTTTAGCCATTTTGAAGTGTCCGCGGTATGTGTTCAAAAGTACCAACTCACCCCACTCGCTATCACTTCCGAAACCACAAGAAAATGGTATTCTGCCAATTTCAGGCTATCAAAACTCACAGAATAAGTATTATGTGTTCGAGTAGCGCGAGGATTTCGTCGCACTAGATTCCAGTCAACAGATTGGGAGACTCTTGTACTTCTGCTTGCGCGAAATATTCCCGGACAAGCTCAGAAATACTAACAAGGATGCTTTATGCAAGTTTATCCTTTTTTCTCCCGCCACTGTAATCGAGTTTTAGGTTTGGTAA